CAAGCTGAAAATGAAAGTTTTTGGCAAGCATAATGGCCGTGGAGGAATGGAAGCAGGACACTTAGAATTGTAGAGATGTTCCATAAGTATTGCTTTAAAAATGCTAGGTTGTATAAATCACATGTCACTTGTATCTTGACACATTACAGTAATCCACCGTTGCCTCAGATTGTGTGAAAACAGAGAATCTGTGTTTCTTATTTGGTAACCCGCTGAGTCAACAAGAAGCTTTGTGTTTCTTACAAAAGGGAGCAATAGTTTTACCATCTGAAGCCATTTCTCTGTTGGCAATATCCCAGTTCCATAACTAATCGCCTCGCCTCCATGACTTTTGCAGTAACCTCAATGACCTTAACTCTGATCTCAACCATCTCTGCAACTGTAGTTTCCAACTACCTTAATTAACTTCTCAGATGTATCAACCCAACCACTTCCATCTTTGTTAGTATCCGAATAGCCTATGGAAAATCCCGATACAACCATTCTTTTTGCTCACAACCTCAAAATCCACAGGTTTGTTAGAGATTGCTTCTAGACACTGACCGGAAGAATCCAACAAACAGGCTATTAAACACATTCCTTTACTTCAACCTTGATTTCTTCATCAGCAACCAACAAAGGAGCGTCATCATCTTCAGTTATCGTCACCATCTGACGCCGTTTCTCTGTTGGCAATACCACAGTTCCATAACTCTATGACTTTTGCAGTAACTCCAATGCCCTTAACTCTTATCTCACCTTAACTCAGCAATACCACAGTTCCATAACTCTATGACTTTTGCAGTAACCCCAATGCCCTTAACTCTTATCTCACCTTAACTCATATCTCAACCATCTCACCTTCACTCTTATCTCTGCCACTGTAGTTTCCAACTACCTTAACTAACTTCTCAGATGTATCAATCTATGAGATAACAAATCTCTAACCACTTCCATCTTTGTTAGTATCTGAAGAACCCATGACCGATCCACACAAAGACACGTCTTTTTTGCTGTGATGTTGTTGCTTCACAACACCTTGAGATATCACCATAGTCTTTTTTTTTTTTTGATAAAATGTAAATATTATTCAAAAGAGCATTTGAGAGCATACATTGCATGACCTTCCAGTCACACTAGTCACGGCGACTAAATCCTTGGGGGCTCTGTCTCTCTTGTTGTTCCCTTTCACTTCTTCCGGTCTCGCTTAGTGACTACAAAGGTCCGTCGCTGCTCGAACCACGAGCTCTCAAATGAGCAAGCGCGTAATCCAGCTCAGACAAGACCCCCTCACCGGCGATTCGGAGTGGAAACGGTGTTCCTGAAACATCTACGGACGGCCTCCTCGCGACGACATCGTATCTGGACATGCTCAATGATTCTTGGCGTCCAGCTATCGAGAAAGCCATTACTGAGGCTTGATATCGGGTTCTTCTCATTTCCATAAGTTCCAATGATTGATTACTTGACAATCATGTTGGCTTTATTCACAATGATGGATTTTGTGTGTGTCTAGGGCTGGAACTGGGTTGCTGGCTTCGAGAGCAATGGGAAAACACGACTCAAAGGGAATGGTTACGAGGAAGCTTATGGTCTCATGAACTCAAAGTTGGGGAAGATCTTGTCTCACGAGCTCATGTTCTTGTGAGTAATAGATTCTCATCATTAGTGCTAGAAAACATTTTTTTTTTTTTTTTGAGTTGTTGAACAAGGAAACCCCAAATTAGGATGCTACAATGTTCCATATATTGTTGGTAATTTGACAAGAAATTAACATTAGTGCTTCTTCTTCAATAGGTAAGCGAGATATTGGACTCTGAGTTACTGGGTCCCAAGTTCATGTCTTTCTTATCTAATTTGTGGTTTGTCTTCACTGTTTGTCTTGGGCCTGATTGAATTTCTTCTCACATTGTTTCCCTTTTCTTTTCTGTTCAATGTCAACCTTGTAGAAAGCCTTTTCTTATGTGACATGCATGATCTATAAAAGCATGATGGTGTATATCTAGTACCTCAATATGTGGACATGCTCAATGATTCTTGCTGCAACCGAGCTTTCCGTCTACCTATCGGAATCGCCTGATCACCGAGAGTAGAATTACATAACAAGGAAAGGAATTGCCTGATCACTGAGAGTAGAATTACATCACTAGACCAGAGCTGTAGAATATCATCTCTTTGTGAATAGACCAGAGCTGTAGAATATCATCACTTTGTGGCGATGCTGGTGGTTACGTCTTTCTTATCAATTGGGTTAGTCAACATGTCTCGACACAGTTACGCTTGGTGAAATCATATACTTAGCTTTGTTGAGCATTTTCTTGGAATTTTTTTCATTTACAGATCTCATAAAGACTGTACAACACTACTTTGCATCTTCCCAATAGTGAGTGTTACCCTTCCAGAATGGGATGCCTCTTAGATAATTGGTTTGTTCTTGTTATGTAATTCGTATGCTTGGATTATAACATGTGAAAGGTGAAGTAGAGTCTACTCTTTGGTTTGGGCTTAGGATTTGTTCACGAAAATGCTAGTCAAAGTAAGTTAGATGCTTCTTAGTTAGCACCAATTGCAACTGAGGATCCGCAGGTTCACCAATCATTGATGGTTCTAAAACTGCTAAGCCAACGTTACATGCAATGGT